GTTTATGTCTCTAGAGTGTTTGCGGCCTACGCCACTTATTTATCGGGTGAGACTGTTTTGGTGATGTATTAACTTCACGGGAGGTAGACGACCGTCCTTCACACGGACGAAAGAGGGAGTGCTCAAAGAGCGGCTCCCACAGCAAGGAGGGGCCCCGTGAATCATCGCGGTGCCCCCTATCAAACGGTTATCTTACCAGTCTGCGTGACACTAAATCATCCAGCACATGTATCCAACAGCAATGTTCGCAGACTCACGAACAGTAACTACAAACCCGCGTGACGTTGATCGTCTGGCTTGGGCGACGAACTAACTACCCAAAATCTCATCAACACAAGCGAAGATCCCGCTTCTCGTTTGCACTTGTGAAGCAGAGTCAGCTGAATTCGACGCCTCAATTATTACTGCGCAATCAGTGTTGTATGGATCGGTCATGCTTGGACGGCTAGGCCTGCATGCGGGTGCTCTGCTTGTAGCTATGGACTTCCAACAGTGTCTCCCGCATCTTGCCATCCTACAGAGGAGCATCCCAGCCATCACCAGCAGCTACAGCAGCGGTAGCAGAAGAAGACAATGAGGACCTCCCACAGGGTCACTGCAAGGCAGAAGTACGGTCATCGAACGGCGGCCAGCCATGCGGAGAACCACCCGCAGGGCAGGCAGACGCACACGGGGGGCGACGGGCAGCAAAGGTCAAGAAGGGGAAAGGTCGGTGCAACGTGATCGACCTGTCCGACGGGGTGGTCGAGCCACCGGAGGGACTGCTGCCGATGGAGCTGGGTAAGCACCTTAGTGGTTATTCTTGGTGTGGGCAGCGTTTTCGGTGTTACACAGTAGTTTTGTATCCTACCTTGAGGACAAGTACTACTTTGATTCCCCACGAGACCCTTATGCTGCGGTTTCCTTGCTCGTGTGTTTTTTTGACAAGATATGATTGTGTTTTGGGCAGGTAATCAGATGGTGTCACCAAACCAGCCACGGAGTTTGCTGCAAGCCTTTGTTCAGGGTCCGGCCTCGATTTTCTGTCCGCCCTCTCGTGCACACACCCTTCTTATTCGCCGTTGTCGGCAGGGGATTCAATAGCCACGCCGCTACCGCCGCCGACTGCCACGGATGGGCGGGGGGGCAAGCCGGCCCTCCAGCACTACCCACACCCTTCTGATGCAGCTGCGACCGCTGGTGTGGGAGTCCAGAGGTGCGAGTGGGGTCAAACGACGCAGCAGGTTCAGGGAGAGCGTCAGCAACAGTCACAAGAGTTCCCTCCCGCTGTGTTAGCTGTGTTAGCCCTGCAGCTGCAAGAGTGGGGCGAAACACAGCAGCAGCAGCCGCTGCAGGAAGCATCCCCAACCCTCAGGCGCCGACAGTGGGGGCGGTGCGCCAGCGCGGCCACCCACTCGCTGGGCGGTGGTTGCTTGCGTGACGATCAAGAAGCAGGACACGACCAGCCCCCCTTCGTGATGATGGGCATGCTGGACGACAGCCGAGCGCTCATGCTTCCGACGACAAGGGAAAGGCGGGAGGTAATGCAGTCGCTTTCTTCGGCCTCAGGTGAGGCCTCGAGCGGAAGGGTTTTGAAATGGGCGGTGGCTAAGCTCTCTCGTGATGGTGTCTTTTTCGGAGGTTGGCATGTTGCCGTCCCTGTTTGACGTTGAACACGGGACATCGTGTATGGGAACCGCTCGCTGTCGGCCCCGTCCGGCCTCCCTTCTGCGACAAGTCGTGTCTATGCAACCTCCGGAGCCACGTTGAACTTGCCAGGAACTGGTATTTGCCTTCCACCGGTTCAATCCGAATTCCAGGCTGAACGTCCTTTTTTAGACTCCATGGTGTTATTTGTGGTTTGTCGTTCGATTGCCGCTGTCAGCGGGTCGATGGTAGTGTTTGATGACCCAGCTCGTGTCCTTCCTCAGCTCCAACGAAGGCGTTCGGCCTTGTGTGCTGAGAATGTGGAGTATGATTGACTTGAGGTACGAGATGGTTTTCGGGACTCAAGGCTTCGAGAGGGTCGCATGAGAAACAGGACAGTATCTCTCATTATGTGCATCTCCGCAGATTAAGTCCCGCACCGTACCCACCGCACCGCGTCTTGGTAAAATATGTCCCAGTTGAGCCAACCTTCTCCCCCTCTCCCCCAACCCCCGGGAATCCGCTGTCGAGTGATCGCAGCTCCCGCCGCATGGACCAACAGTCGGGTTGTTTCACACATAACGCACGCGGACTTGGCTTGTCGGTGTCCGTTTCTTTTTGTAGCCAAGTTCTCACCACGTAGTTTTTTTTGTTCAGCGGAACGCAACCTTCGCATGAGAAGCATGCCCCAACATCCCACGTTTTGTCTCGCCGTCGCCTTTTCCTCGCACCTGCTGCGAGACCGCAGTTCCTGTCACGTGGACCGACAGCACCGGTCAGTCGCGGACCGCGATCTTGACCCGTACGGAAGCCAGGCCGAAGCCATGCAACCCTTTTCCCATGCTGGCCAACCTGCTGGCGTGGATGCGAGAGCTTCCGCCAGGAGCCCTGCCCGAAAACAGGCTGCGCGTACGCCTGGAAACCCTGTTGGCGCCGCAGTCTCCGTCGAACAACAAGAACAACAACAACAACAACAGCACCCACGATGGCAGGGCATCCGGTGGCGGTGACGGCGATGGGGACCTCTCCCGAGGGGCGGCTTGGTTGTTGGCGCACCTGATGTTAACGGGGCCGTTCGAGCGTGAAATTCCCAATGGCAAGGTGTGCGGCAGAGGAACCAATTACTGCAGAGTGGCAGTCGAGCATGTGCAAGTACTCGTTCAGTGTTTCAGGAACTCCACGGTTTGTTCGGGTGCGTTTCCTTCTCAAGTTTTTTGCTCTTCGAACCAAGACCAAATATTGTTCGAGAATTCTGTGTGTCGTGCTCGCCCCAACTCTCCCTGCGAAAAATAATGAAAGGAATAACTAGGAAGCTTGTTTTTCGAGGCCTACCGGCAATGTGTGTGATTGGCTTTGGAAACCACTTTGGTTTGCTGAGCTGGTCCCGAGTTTGTGCTGAATCCGCGCAGTGCGTGACGCCGCAGTAGATGATCCTCCTGCGCCATTTCTGATTTCACGAGTGCTCGTCGTATATTTTTTTCTCATTGATTGCTTTTTGCGCCGTTGGTTGCTAGACTTGATACCGCTTGAGTATTGAAATCCTCTCCGTCTTGGTTAAGACGTTTCGCAGTTGTCACCGCTCATTGTGGACGTTGGCATAGAGTATAGACCTGCGTGAGGTGATGTGGATCGCACGTCGCGTGAGGTACGTTTGTGTTTTGCGTGTCCCCCGAAAATGGATACACGAACGACTTGCACCTTTTCCTTCCACGTGTTTTCCATGGCATGACCTTGTTGTCCTGGGTTATATTTTGACCGCTTCTCGAACTGTCCTCTCTGTTCCCGACGGATTGCTCGGACGCGTCACAGGTAAGCCTCTCTGGCGCAGAGGCAAACGCGATGCCGCTTCTTCCGTGCCCGCTGATTGGCTGGAGCCCATGGCCTCGTGAAGTGATCCAGGTGGCCCTGGTCCTTAGCCTCCAACCATCTCTTGGAGCTTCAGAACTCCCTCGATGGAGGACCCTATAACTGCTGCTGTGTTACGATTACCACCCTCGCGAGTACCCGTAGCAACATGGGTCAGCAAGACATTCCGGGTCAACTAATTGGCACGAGGGCTTTGGCGTCCGTAGCAACAGCAGTTACACCGGCAACAGAAGAAAAACCAATACAGCAGAGGTCCCTGTTTAGTGCCGAGGTGTGCGCAAAAATTTCACCGGCACTACACCGGGCACCGGCACTACAACGTACAGAACGACTTGATATTCCAGTGTGTGCGAGCCGAAAACACCGGCACAATACCGGCAACCGGCACTATTCGACCGGCACTAAACAGGGACCTCTACTGTACCACATGTGATGTTTTCCCTGTGTGTATTTGACGTGCTTCCTCAGGCGATGTCCGAAGGGGGGGGCAGCTTGTGCACCTACTCGGTAGAAGTTGCCGCCTTCGAGACGCACACGGGGATATGCGACAAGGCGGCGGACGAGCTCGTCCACGCCGGGTTCGCCCGGAAGGTAGAGTTCGGAGAGATGCTCGCACTAGATCAGAAGGTGAGCACTATGTTTGTTGGCCTGGGCATTGCCGCGAATCGCTCGATGCTAGCTGCGTAGCGGGCGACACCCCCCATCCCCCATAGCCCCCGCATGGGTTGGTGGCAGATGGCGCTTAAATAGCAGTCTTTGGACACGAACTACGGCGGACCTGGATTCTGTCCAGCCGTCGAGTGTGGATGGCCTTGCTAGCATGGTCATGACCGACCGGACGAGCGCGGTCATGATCCCCCGTTCGGGCGCGCGTGTAGATAGTCCGTATGCTCTTGCGTTCAGCCAGCACCCTACGGTTTGCTGGGCTGGTTGTGAAGGCTGTGGCTGAGTTACACGACGATACGACGACCCGACTGACTTCCCTCGAACAGCACGACAACCGGGAGAATGCTCTACACCTCCCCCGACGCACACGCCTACCGCTTGTTCGAATAGGAGACGCCAGCGAGTTGGTCGTCACCGTCTTCCCTGAGAAGTGCTTTGCCCCAGGACCATACCCCATACACTTATCCTCCCTTCCCCGTTCCCCTCCCCCCCCCTCGGTGTTCGCCATCGGGGTTGGGTTTTCGTCGCTTGGCAACGACGTTGTAAAACAAGCCGCCCCCTCGGTGTTTGCCATCGGGGTTGGGTTTTTGTCGCTTGGCAACGATGTTGTAAAACAAGCCAATTCGCTTCGTGAACTCGGCAAATAGGTTACCGTTTTTTTTCACCTCTGTTTTTTTTTGGCGGTAAGCATAATGGTGGTCGAGAAGATCATGTTGTGCGGGGTGCACAATCCTCACTCCGCGCAAGGGGGACGATCGCAACACGTTGTGTTAAAATGGTCAAGCATCCTCGAGGCAGTTACACAGTGCTTACACCTGTCTCTGGAAGTGAAAGCACCAGAAAATAAATTAATTCATACGCAGCTGTCATCCGTACGCAAGGAAGTAAGCACAAGATGCCGAACACCCTTCGCAGGATGCAGCGCACCCTTCATGCGACTCGCCGAATATCTCACGGCGCCTCGCGCTTGGTGATGTGAGAGCCTGGTCCGGTGAGAACCCGGCGTGCTCCGTCCCGGCTTTGCAGGGATGCGAGGTCAATGGTCTAACGACCACGGCATGCACGACTATGAGTACACCCCGCCCCCCCCCCTTCCCCTCCCAATGCGGTAACCGTTTCAGATCGAGGACACGTGCGAGCTGGTGCTCAAAATCTTCCTGTGCGACTGGGACGTAGACCGGGAAGTGCGTGCGCAAGTTGCTTTGGGGCTGACAAAGGCAAGGAAGGTTTCTTCCTGATTTTACCCGTGCTAGACCTACACCAAACTCGCTTTAGAGTTCCGCATGACGTGCTCCCTTGTTCTACATCTCCTTTTTCCTTACACCAGTTTGCTGTCCGTTGTATGTTGTGGTGTGTGCACAGACGGGCCCCATGGCGAGCGGGCTGTGCCCCCCCGACATCCCTTCCCTCTTTTCTGGCCGGCAAACATGGAGGAGTTCCACTAAGGCCGTTAGGGGGGGGGATAAACGTTCGAGTTGCCGAGGTCGCATGGGCGGGCTTGTGGGCGACCTGTGCGTCAGGCTTCACTTGTGATGCCACCAGGTATACATCACCTGGAACTGGAAAATGCACGAGTGGTTCCTGTTCAAGTACTTGTACTTTTGTTTAGGGACTTGTTTCGTGTTGGAATAACGATATTCGTGGTTCTTCCAGATGTGATGGTGTGCTACGGGTTATTTATTTACTTATCTATTTATTTTTATCTTCACTTAAAATCAGCGCTCACAGCACTGATGCCGTTTGCTCCAACCAGTGGTCACACAGAAGGGCCCCTCTCTACCCTCCCGTCCTGCGGTACGTTGCCTTCGATATTTAATGCGAGAAGAGTTCAGCACTCTCTTCCCTCTGTGTACACACGAACTAGTGCTATCCACTAGGCCAGGAGCGGCAGCTAGACATAAACTCCATTCACAAGAAAAGCTCGCTTCCGCCGGGATTCGGACCCCTGACCTGACCTCTGGAAGGGTTCGAGGATACCAACTAGACCACCGGGGTTGCAACAGGGGTTACACGTCGTCAAAACTATTCTGCATACATTTTTTTGGTACAGGTGAATAGCCTCGACGTGAAGACGGTACATGTTGTCGAACAGTTTGAAATGGCTCGTACTGTGGTCGGCGTCCGAAATCAATAACAAGACGTCTACAAGAGAATCGAGGTGCACTCGTGGTGCTACGGGGTTGAGAGACAAATCGTGTGCGGCCGATACACATTCCGGCGTTGCTTTTCGAATGGTTTGCGATCTGGCTTCCTTTATTCTCCGAGCGTCTCGCCGACTCGTGTTGGCTTTTCCGGGTAGGCACAGCGGTCGAGATAGCGACTCCGCCCTGTGAAAGGCTGCGGCAAGTTTGGAATGTACCATTCGAGCAGGTAGTCTTTGAGATCTCGGTCCTTACTACCTTTCATGGATGAAGAACTCCACATCAACCCTTAACAGTGGCCTCAGTCCGTCGCGATGGTTTCGAGCAACATATTGAACCAACCCGATTGCCAAAGAACAGCTTACAGAACGCAACGCCGTTTTGATTGCGGCCGTTCGTTGGGTGTGGTCAGGTGATGCGAGCAGACAGGGGCTTGCGCGTCCTGCTCCTGCTGCAAGTGCTGAAGGTGTGTGTGTAAGGGCTCACATGTAACACATGTGTACATGTCGTCTTAAATCACTCGCTGAGGTTATGTGTCCGTGCGCGTGCGTGCGGTTTTGAAGTGAGTATGCGCCAAAATGCGCTAGTTGGAGAGCTGCACGTGTGCTTGTCTTGACGCGTTTGTTTTTTCGGCATTGGCGACATTCACCGAATACGTGCCAAACTTGTTTTTTAGCCCGGCCTTGTGCTGTGTCAAAGACCGTGGAGTGACACAACGAATCACAAACGTTTTTTTTTTTTTCCATGGGACGAGTTGCATTCCGGTGAGCGATTAGAGGGTAACGACATGTAAACATTCGGTCGACAGGTGGAGGCTGTAGCCACGCTCCTCGATACCCGATGAAGTCATTCTCAGAGAATGGATGTATGTCCGTTTCATACGGGCTTGGATCGCAGGGAAGAGTAGGGCGTCAACTATCTCTCTCCCCCTCCAACCATCCCGTCGAAACGTGCAATGCCATGGGTAACAACACCGGAGCTAAGAAGAGGAGAAAGTGGTCCGCATCAGTATCCCTCGGTCGCATGAAGCAATGTTCACTCTGAAACTGGTGCTCCTTTGAGGGCACAGAACGCGAACCAGTGATTATTTTCTGCTGCGTGCCCCCCCGCGGCCTTGGTAGTACGAATCAGTTCTTCGCAATGCCGTACGCGGAGGTGTCCCGTGAAGCGTGGCAGCCGAAACGAATGGGCGGGTTTGCTGATGGCGCTGAGCCTCCTGCCGTTCAACGTTCCTTTGTTCCGCTTTGTATTTGTTCTGTTCTGCTCGAGACTCTCAGGGCGAGACCGCAGGTGATCTGACATCCCGACGCGAGTGGACCGGGCCCATGGCTCAAGCATTCGGGCTGTTGGGAGGAGCCGAAGCTACCTATCACAAGCGCCGCAGAGACAGCATTGGCGGGACTGTCAGCGCCGACTGGGTGGCATCTCTGTGGAAGGAAGAACGGCTGCTTGAAGTGGCATGCTTGCGGTTGAAGCAGGCCATGAAATGGGTCAGCAACTTGTCAAAGCCGTCGGTATGATAATATTGCGGTTTTCGGCGTTGTATCTGCTCCCAGGTTCCCAGCCGGACCTCCTAGGATAAGGCTCCCGGTTCCGTTATGTATTTCCCAAGCACAAGGTACCCGCCATCACTATCAATAGTGGCATCACCAAGAGCGTGTGCGCCATCATGAACAACCACAATACAGCGTGCGTTATGTCGGTGCCACACAGGTCCTTGTGGTTGTCCGCGGGCTTGCGGAAGGATCGCACAAGGACGGAGAGCACGACGAGGCCGTGCTGACATTCCGCCTGCTGGTTCGGCGCGACCAGGTGTAGTGCCTCGACACTGTAACCCGTCAAACCCACTGTGTGCAAGCGTCCTCAGGTGAACACGCGAAACCGCCATTCGTCTTTCCTGTTTTGTGTCCTGTGCGTGAGAAAGCTCGTATCTCGAGAACGTGCGAAGCCGTCCCGGGTGTTTGAGAACTGCCGCGTACACTCCACTGTCCACGATTTGGAATACGTGTGTTGCGAATCAGGTGTAAATGGCAGATGAATCTCATACGTACGGAAATGAAACGGATTCCTCGTTGTGTGTATGCTGTACCGAAAATAGTGTTGCACGCTTGCTTGTGTAGAAACGGTGTTTGTTCTCCGTTTTTGCATTGCTTCATTGTTCGTTTTTGTTTCAAGGGCAGTACTAATTCAGTGCACACGTGACAATGCTCCTAAACGAAACCCCATAGCGCCCGACATTGCTAGGGTTTCCTTCGCAGACATTGAAACGGTTATCAATAGGTATATTCTTTGAGGAAAAGGTTGTTGCAACGATACCTTCCGCATCTAGTGCTGATGTTAGTGAAGTGACGATGTTGCGCTGTTCCCCGCGCGCTCCGTTGAAGGGCTTGGCAGGGCCGATGTACAGGGACACTGCACCAGACTTGGTGTGGGCGGCAGACTGGGTCACCTGCGACCAGAGGGGATTCGTGAGTGGGGAGGCGTCGCCTGGCTTGATATTGTTTTTATTGTCGTCGTCGTCGTCGTCGTCGTCTTCATTGTCATGGCTGTGGTTTTGTGGCCGTACCGCTCGTTGCTGGAAAACGTGCCGAGAATGGCGAAGGCGTACGTAGACGCTACATGACATGATTGACATTGGTCTGAAGCGCTAGATGTCGTGAGCCACGACCACTTGCGAAGCTATTTCAGGGGAAACCACGACAACACAACGGAAGAGAGGTATTTGAGGTTCAACTTGTAAAGGACAAGAAAATCGAGCCAGCGTCTGGATGAGATTGTCATGATTACCTATTGCGGTTGACGATGCAGAAGACACCCCTTGAAAGTGGACCCAGGTAGCCGACTATCGACAATCAAGGGTCTCAAGGTAGCAAAGGTTTGTTTTCCATTGTCCCACCCCAGTTTGTCGCCGAGGACTCACCCCTCCCACGCATACCCAGTTAGCCAGCTGTTGAAATACCAGCTTTTACTTCCACCATGCACGCTGCGTTCGCGCCATCTCCTCCAAGCGGTGTTCGACAGGGGAAGAGAGTGACCAAAGAATTAGCCACGTTCTTGTACTGTACTTGGGGCAACATGATTCCTTGTGTTTCTGATAGCTCTGTACTGCTGCGCTTGTGGCGTCTACGCAGATATTCCAACTGTTTCTCGATTTTCCTGCCGTGGACGCCGCGAAAGCTTCAGGTAGTTTTCGCCTTGATTGCTCGTGCAGCGACCGCGGCAATAACGAGATGAGGCTCGCAACAATCCATTTCCGCGTTGGCACCGTATAGACAATTTAGTCAAGCACCAATATTTCCATCGCGCTCGCTGTTTTATTTGGTAGTTTTGATCATGTATCGTTGTCAACGTGTGTCATTGTCCGTACACCCAACCCTGCACAACTGGGGCACATCTCAGGCGTACACGAGGCTGGCGACCAACCTCAAGACTCACCTCAAGCGGCCCCGAGAAGAGCAGCTAGACGTCGTCAAGGCCGCGTGTGACGACGACTGCGTTCGAGGAGGGGACAGGGTTGATCTCTGGGAACGATATCAAAGCCTACACAAGCAGTTCGGTGGGTGCACTGGTAGGTATGCTTACCCTCATCAGGTTGGCCGGCAGGGGACGCACTGCAATCATCCCCGGGTTATGGTGTCGAGACACCGAATCTTCTACGAGGAGGTCGGACAATGCACATCGAGGTGCCGTTGTCTTTGTTGTACGAGGGAGGACAGGTGACGTCTGGTCGCGTCCCTGGGCTCGATCGTTGCGGAAGAGCTTGTACGATTGTGACAACTGCGCCTCGTAGTCAAAAAATGTATCTTGCGGACATTTCATGTACACGATAGACATGAATTAATACTCACGGTATGAGTGATTGCTGCGGGTGTGCCTGTTAAGAAAAACGTATGGCCGCAGCGGGAGGGATATCCAGGTATGATGATTTTTCACGGGATAACGTAGTCCTGCCACGAATAATAATCTCTCCGCATAGGGGTGCGGGGGAAAAATCACGATCCCCGTGAATGAAATTATTTTCGCACGCGGGTCAGAGTCTTTGGACTTCGATACTCTCGGTGCAGATGAGCGATTCCGCGAGGGCTTTTCAGCGGTTTACGCTCGGACATTATGAGATCTGTCTTCGCGGACTCCACTGTCGTGCACTTTGGCACCGAAAACGTGCACACGTACAAAGAGCTATGATACGGAGATATTGCACCTCCCTGTGCATCCCCGCCTCTACCACCCTGCCCATGGCTGCCTGTTGCGTGAGTCGATGGGGACGAGGGCTATCGTAGGGCATAGAAGGGGACCGGGAGCAACCGAGATGTTTTCCTCAACACGCGTGCACTAACGTACGATCACGATCACACACCCAGGTACCCAACAAACCGCATCGCTGAAGCGGCAACAGCGGAGCCCCCTTTGGGACCCCAAGGTTGAGGACATCCACCCTCCCGTAGAGACGCAGAAACAGGGCAGCCAGGGGATCCTCGGTGAAAAGGGGGGGCGAAAGCTCTACTACTACATCGACGGTGAGAAGGCATCATCGTATAAACTTTCGTGTTTTTCAGAATGTGAAGAGGGTGGCAAAAACAACGAAGATCAGAGATGCATGTGTGCCATGCACAAAACATGTAAGGTGTTGACGCATCTATATGTATGTACAGGTGATCCCGGAGTAGGCTAACGTAAGCACAATGTCATCAAGAGGTGATGCAAACTGAAAATTAGCGCAGGTAGCAGCACCAACTCACAGATGACTGCCAGCTGTCACCTTTAATGACGTTTCCCAAGCTTAACAGCTCACGCAGCTGACGTGTTTTTGACTCGAACAGCCTATACATAGCGCACCTCAATAAACGAAAAATAGTGTATTTAAATCTTTCAACAGTCTTACACAGGACGCTTTCAATATGCTGTTTTTGTGTTTGCGTTTCATCGGTCTGTTTGTCTCTTTGAAGCTGCACCCGGTGAGCGGCGCTGGAGCGAGGCCCGGTCACATACGGTCGAGGAGGTTGTCATCAGGGAAAGGTAGGGGAGGAGCACGTGCTATTTGTTGGATCCACGAGTTTGCCGAACATACCCTACAATCGCACAATTTGGAGATGGAATGGTGGAGGATTCGCCCAGATTTCCTTCCTACTGAACCACCTATGCACCTTGTACCACGAGTGGTTTTTTGCTTGTGAGTGGTGGGACCCTCTCCGGTCACATGAGTGTTGGGTGTATTTGTATTGGTGTTGATGCTTCTTAGGGTTAGCTAAGCTTGTGACCACCGAAATTAATGTCGATGGTTCTGAAATTGGAGAGGAGAGACCACAGGATAGAGAGGAAGCCGTTCTACGTCAAGAAAAGAGTACCAACTACAAATAACACCAAGAATGGTCTTGTCACTCGAATTACAAACCGAACAACACTGTTCATCTGACTGGTGCCATGGAACATTCTGTCACCTTGTTTGGTCATGCGTTTCCCCCGTATTTGTCTCTCGACGAATGCCAATAACTCCGCGTACGCGCCTTGGCAGGTACTGTGCCGGTGCTTGGCTGGGACTGCACGGTGAATCTAAACTCATCATATTCACCCTGATGCTGCTGCTGTAGGAAGAAGTGTTCGACAGCGGCGTGGAAGCTGCTGTGCCACACTGTATTTTGGTGAGGGCGGATTATCTAGCTTAACCCGTGACAATGGCGGGGGCTCATTTTCTGCCTCATAATTTATGTCCCAAGGGAAGGGTCTACTGTAGATGGAAGTAAGAACACAGATGTTCCAGGTATTCAGGCCAGAAGCAGAGATAGCAAGCGACGCGTTTCAGCAGCCCCTACCTCGACCAACTGTGCAAGACACCGCTATGTAATCTATGGGCTCTCACCATCTCACCTTGTAATGAACCGACCTTCGCCAATCCGTCCTTGTTGTCATGGTTGCTTACGTCGTTTTCGTCACCCGTGAAAACGGCACAGCATGAACCATGTTACAAATTTAACCCGGCATGGTGCATTGGCCTAATCGGATCGTTTATCTTCGGCGCTTGGCACTCTGCTCCCCCTACTCTCCCATGCCAAATACTCCCTGTTTTGCACCTTTGACATACCCTTCGTGTCAAGCGCTCCCTCACCGAGATCGTTATCAGCTTGCCCGGCTCTTTGCCCACTGCGCACCCTGGGCTGGCATCCAGATGTTCGAGATCCGCATGAATGACCCCCCCCACTCCCCACGGAATGGGTCAAGGTTGTAGAGGACGTATGGAAGGGGTTGGACATCGACGAAGATGAAACCCTAGAAACGGAGGGTTTAAAAGGGTTCAAGGAGGAGATATCTGTTGCTTGTGCCGAGAGAGAAGAACAGAATCTAAGGAAAGAAACCGAGGATAAGGAGGGTCTAGAAGTGTACGGAATGTTGAAAGAAGGACTAGGGTTCAAGGATTACCTACATGGACCAATCGATGCAGGGACAAAGCTCAACGTCAAATTCAGGACCGGGGACATGGGCCTTGGGGACGTCGGTGAAGACATAGGACGGTAGACGACGAAGACGACAAGTTCAAATGTGATTGCGGCTTCGAATGCGAAGACCGTGTTCATGTAGTCGCGGAATGCCAGTGGTACAAGAAGGAGAGGGAGGTGTACGTGACTGAGCTGGGAAAAATGCAAGGGACGTACAGGGAGATGTGTGAGGCATGGAATAGAAAGGAAAGGACGGTAGCGGTACTGGGGAGAAGGAGGTTGGTTGAAAAGGCGGGAAGGGATATCGTAAGGATAGACAGTCTAGGGAAGACATTTTTGAGCCACCTTTGGCAAAGTAGGAAGGAACGATTGGACATGGTGATCGGTCCTGTGGGAACAATACTCCGTCCTCTCGAGGACGCGTGGTCAATGGTCTAACCGCTAAGGNACAACAGCCATTTTCCCCGATGCTGAATTGACCATGGCGTGTTCGCCTGCACGACAATATCCTTCTTGGAGGCATGTACCTCCTCCCCCCAGTTCGAAGCACGCTGTTTTGCCCGCAACGTTTAACCGTGTCGCGTGTAGATCTCACCGCTGGACATGAGCGATAAATTCTTCACAACCCGTAGGGAAGGCCTGCCGGGCCGCCTGGCAATGATTCGGCAGTACGCGGACCGGCAGCTCTTTTCAGACGTCGGCCAGCGCTACGATAGGTGGGCGTTTGGCGACCACTCTCTTATTGTTGCGAAAATCCCCCATGCTTTTTATTGTTGTGGAGGTACGTTCCCGATACGCTGACAAGCGTCTCTGAGAGGTTGTGCTGTTCTTTTATGGGAATACTATTTTGTGCGTAAGATTTCCTCATTTTTGTTCATAGGGAAAACAGAAACATTGCATCAATGAAGGGGAAGTATCGACCGAAGGCCTTCGATCCGCCCGCCGGTCCTCGTCGGCGTGCCCCCCCCCCCCCCCCCCNTGGTGCCCCAGGTTGAGAGGCGTGCGGAGTGGCTGGTGCGATTGGAACTTATTTCCCAAGCAGCAGGTATGTATGTGCGGCTGCTGCGCCTAGAACTGTGCGACGGGTCGGTTTGCGTGAAGTCGAGGACCCTGAAGTTTCGTGTTTTTTTCAGCGGGAAGGGTTGGCTATGTTTTCCAACATGTTGATCTACAAGATGAAAACACCAGTGGTGTACACAGTAGGTGTGGCAAAACCAGGGCGTTTCCTGCCATGAGAGTTCTTCCAGTACGGCACTGAGCATCCCGTCGCACCTTTATCCCACTTTGTTTCAAATTTGTGGGGCGTTACTGTGTGACGAGTCTAGCCAATTCGCGAGGTACGCGTTTCGCCGTCCTTCGCAATGGGGTATATCAGCCGTTTCCTGCTGTCTCTGCGATGCGTCTCCTGCGCCTGCTGCGGTCTTGGTCCTGTTTGGCGTCCGTCTTGCCGGTGAAATTCAGCGTCGTGTATGAGCAGGGCTGTGCCTTTGGTACACACAGGCACAGCTCAGATCGAGCTAGGGTAATAATCTGACCGCAAATTTGCCCTGGACCGATAGATTGGTTCGTTCGTCGTAGCCGAGTTCAATCTTCTTGGCCTTTCCGTCGCGCCCAATCTGCGTGTACCGTGCGTGCCTCTCCTCAACGAGCGACCTCGTGTACCGGGTCGGGCGGTGGAGGTCTGAGACATTTTTCATTTGCAGAGTGCTGTCGCGTGTTTGTGGGTTGTTTGTTTGCTCTTCGCTTTTCAATGTGTTGCACTTATTGCCGTCGCACCGCTGCACATAATGGAAATATGTGTCGCCTTTGGAGGGAAGCGGTTGTCCGATCTGCTCAAGACGCTCACGAACAACCTCGCTGATATGTGAGATTGGACTTCGGTGTCTGAGGAGACAAAACGCCATGCCATTTGGGGCGACCAGTTTTCCGGCAAGATTTGAAGCGGAACCCGGTTACGTCGGATATCCGGTTGAACCGTTTTTCCGGTTACATCGAATCCCGTTCTCGGGTAATCCGAAAACCAGTTTCCTGTATCCCTGTCTGCTCGTGCTGGCACCAGAGCGTGTTCCGCTGCCCACCCTCTCTTTGTGTCGCTAACGCTATACTTTCGTGTGGACTCACACGATTGAGCCTCTGAGATGACATGGCGCACAAGAGTAAACCGTCGATCGCCAATTGGATTTCGTTGAAGGGACAAGGGCTTCCTGACGTGGTGCTGTGGAGGCCGAAGGGCGCCAATCGTGGAGCAGGCGGGTCTAGCAGTGCGGCGGCAGAGACGGGCGCGATTGGAACGCGACGACCCACTTCGGGCTCGGATGGCAGGGCCACGGTCAAGTTTGGGAGGTATGCACGAAGTAGACTGCCTGGGGCAGGGTCGACTGTCTTTCAAGGAATATTGATATCGACTTTCGATAGCCCTCGATTGCTAATCATGACGATGACAAGGACTCGGATTAATCTTGTCGCAGGTGGAGGTTGTAGAGGTCAAGTCGAAGGGCGACACCATCAGGAAGGAGCAGAAGGCCTGGCTGGCTGAGCTGGAGGACATTGGCGTGCCCGCCATGGTGTCTCGAGTAGTGGCCGAAAATGAGGCCGTGCCCAAGAAGCGAAGCCGGTCGCAGTAGCAAATGACCGGCTCGTTCGTACCAAGCGGGGAACATCCATGACTGGTTTTATCACAAACTTGAAGCACTTCTACATCAATGCTTTTTGTGCGGCACCATGGCGAGTTTCAAGACGACTTGCACGAGGACAGCGCATTACTCAGGTGGTACTGCCAGGACTGAACCCTGGTGCATTCTCACATAAGATGAGCTCTCAACACTGCCATGGTTGTTGGTGTTGTCTTCACATTGAAAATACCGTTCCGGTCTCTGTAGCACTTTCTAACGTCCGTATCTGTCTAACTGACGCGGACGCCTTTCGTGGTCACAGGCCAATCATGCCCAAAATGGTACATACTTCGAAATATCGAAGGCGAAAAGGACACGCAAAAACATCACAAACGCCGTACAAAAACCAAACACAAAACAACAGCCAGACCAAGACATCACTGGCAACATCCAGCGAAGATGCAGAAAAAAATAGGCCTCGCCGCTCCCGCAAAATCAAACAAAACATGCGAAGACAAGCGAACCAAAAGATACGATCCTTCCATCCCCACTAGACCGAGGTTGGAGGATACATCGTAGGTGGAGAAGGAACCAACGCCAAGGACACTAAAGATGAGCCAAACCATCGCCTAGCTAACACTCGCCGTGCTTTCGGCATGCATCCGAAGAATCATCGAAACAACGCAGACCCAATCAGTAACAACACGTGACCCGCTGGTACTCCCCGTGGCTGAGGCAACAACTTTCCACAATGCTGATTCCCACTGCAAGCGACAGAACGGAATGAGTGTGCTCCCGGCGCCCGTGCAAGAAGTACTAACTGGTCTGTTGTCCTACAGCAGTACGCCAAAAATAACTCATCCTGGGAGCTCAAATGCAGTTCATGCTCTGGACAACAATACCGGTGGAATGTATGCATTCAAACCACACAGCAGTTTCCTCGCACTTGCCCCATCAGCGGAGATACGAACACAGAAAATTGAAGCTTGTAGGGTGTACAAGAGGCGCCGCAGCCTGGAGTGCGCACGACCTTCGAGATGCAGCTCGCCATCGTTCGTGCATGCATCTCGCCGAACAGACTGCCCTCCAAGCAGCCCGTCCGCAGCAACCAAAAACGATGGATTCTTCAAAACTCCGAAAGGGATACCATCGCAGTCTAGACGTTTTACCGCACGAGGGATGTTGGATTCATACGGAATCATGTCCGGGCCACGATATTTTTCATGAACCGCCAACGAAACCACAAGGGGAGGGCACTTCGGCTGAAACCCAACTGTCCTCATCCGGCGGATACAATTGTAGCGGGGAGCACTTCACAAGCTTACAATCTAGAAAAACACCCAATCTAGAAAAACACCCGATCACCCCGCAACCCAGCGAAGAACTGGTCCGCAACAATGGCGGTTCAGTAGTCGTAATCTTCTTCGTCCACGTAACCTGGGGACGACCCCCCTCTGTCCCCTCCCCTCCCACGCCTTCGCCCCCGAACGTCATCATCGTAGTCGTAGTCTCCCTCTCGACGTGCCCGTCCTCGCCGGCCGAATGAATCGTGGCCGGTATTTCTTCCGCCTGGGCTACCGGCAGAAGCAGCGTTGTCGTCACCATCGTCGTAGTACGATCCTGTTCGGCCGGGGTATCTTCTTTCGAATCTACGGGAAGGTGCACGAGTAGGCAACAGCGACAAGTTTATCAAAAATCGTACTTCTAGAAATCGCCTGTGTGACCGCGGGGGATGCGTTCAATATAAGCACTGAAATGTGTGTAGGCTGGCCCCAGAATTGATGGGATGGACGAACTTTGGTCTCTGCGCTTAGAAGTCGGACGTAAGCGAGTTTCAAACCAGGCCGTGTCCGAGCAAAAAATATCGAGTTCGTGCGCACCGGCATACCGATCTCTACCCTTGGCGAAAAGAATGACAAGAGTACCAACAAGACCAGATCGCGATCTCACTGTGCTGCCTTCTCCTCCATGCCCGCTCCCGGCTGCATGATGTTTTGCGCCCCGCTCCGCAAGAAGGTTCCCACGTCGAACTTTCGCCTGCTGGGCTCCGTGTCCTCGTCCCACCCCCTTTGCCGGCGCTGACGCTGCCTTCGGTTACCTTCTCCTCCCTTCAACCTTGCACGTGTGAGAACCAATAACAGACGGGAAAAGAGGTGTACGACGTGCTTCGTTCAAGAAGACACGTGTTCTTGTAGAGAGCAGATCACCCTGGCTGAGTTGGTGACATTATAGTTCTCTCAATAGATTGCGTGTTCTGGCATGATTGGCCTGACAATCTCGCAATCTGGAAACTGCACACGCAAGGTTGTCGGTAGACACAAGCACAAGAGTCTGCAGGGGATAAATGGAGAGGAAAACGAAAATCCAGTGTACCTTCCGTGTGATCCCGGCTTGGGGTGAACCATGTACCAAAGGGTGTACACTGATGCAAGAACATATGGGGTAACGAAACGAAATATTCCAAGTGGTACAACAATCACCTAAGCAGTAGCCGATCTTGCCGTTGCCTCGACTCTACTTCCCGCCAAGAACGTCAATATCCGCGTCTCAACTGCCCACCACCGGAACCCTCTCCATCGACTACAAAGCTTACCTGTCATCGTAGTCGAACCCCCGCTCGTCTCGCTGACCCTCAACGTCGTACCCACTTCTACCGCCACCGAGCACATCCTCGTCTTGCCCGTAGCCGTAGCTGGTGTAATCGTCGTACAGATTGTTCGTGCCGGAGCGACGACGGGCTGCTCTGTTACGACCGTCGATATTGCCGTCGTCATCGTAGTCATCGTCGTCGGTGAAAGCGGCGTCGAAGACCCCCGCCTCCTCCAGTGTCTCGCCTATCCCCTTGTCCAGGACTTCCAACCATTTCTCGTAAGCCTTCAACGACAGACGGCAGGTCGCGCACGTTGAAAGAAATCACTAAAGTCTGCCTTGTGCCCAAAACAATACTGCTATTAAAACGAGATACCTCAAAAATGTCCACTCCATGAGTGACCCAACGAATGAATGACAAGCGCACCACAACTGTTCAAGAAGAACCTTCGGCCGCTTTCAGGCGTAGTGCGTCGTCCACGCACTGCCGCGATTGATCCCTTCAGGCATGTCTCGACAAATCTCGATCACCTAACACCGCTGTTGTGCAGCACAATGTTGCATGAAAAGCTGCAATTTTTCCTGCAGCTTTTCTTCCTTTGTCACATTGTCAATGGGACTTTTGATGCACGCTCTTTATGGGACAAACAAATATTGTGCACAGGACTGGCGGAAGGCGGAGGCGTGACCGTTTTTTCTACCAACGGCGAGAAGAAGGCACACGCCTTTCATATTGCACCACAAAGTAACCGGTCAGAGCGTGTGGGAGAGGGTAGATGCAACCTTTTTTCTCCACACTCATGATACCCCAAGGCATCTAACCTGGTGCCAGAAAGGTGCTGGGTAGAGCTCGCTTGCATGGGGTGGAATTGCTGTTGCTGTTGCCTTCTCCTTCCACAATTTATCGCTGGAAAACCAAACCATGCGCACACAATCCCTGCGAACTTGAACCTACCGCTCTCTGACGTGGGTACTTCAGGGTCGATAAAAAATCACGATGCGCACGATACCCCACGGCACCAAACCTTGGGCATGAACGATGGAGCAGAGAGCTACCTGCCACCGAGCAGCCTTGCTATTGCTGTTGCTTCCTCCTTCGGAAGTTATCGGTGGATAACCAAACCCGTGGCAGTCAATAACATCGAACTTGAACTAACCTCTCGCGACCGTTGACGGTTGTGCACAGGACAAACTTTTTTCCCGGCGCATTCAGCACCTCATGGCCCCAAACCTTGGCAGTGCCTAACAGCCCATGACATCACCTCCTCCCATATACAATTCATGACGCAACTCGTAAAGGATTCATCGAGATATCGGTGATCACAGCCTTCCCATAATCGATGCTGGAGAGGGTCTACGTGTGCGGTAGGGGGAGCAGCTTGGCGTGGACCGGTATAATTTCCGCCGTGCAGCTTTTCTCACCCCTTCCCGAATCGAGAAAAGCTGCAAAACTTTTCGGCCGGATTGCAGCTTTTCGCTCAGGAAAAGAAGATGCAGAACTTTCGTGCAACTTTTAGCCCATACTGAGCGTACACTAGCGAAGCTGCAAGAAAAGTTGCAGAAATACAGCTTTGTTTGCAACATTGTGCTGCCATAAAAAGCGGCGTAATCAAGCATTCAACCCATCTATCGGTGAAGATCTCCGTGGATACCCCTTACGAGATGCAGTCCTTTTCTCACCATCAAGGCTCATATTTTCCATCAACAATGCTGCACTCGAACCGGACAAAAAAAATCTCAACAATTCCTCCTCCTTTTGTGTGACACAAAAGCTGGCAAGACGTCGCTTTTTTCTTTGTCTAAGGTGACAGGGACGTCTCACCTGTAGCCGGAATCGGTTCTCCAAAGCCACCACTTCTGCCGCCCATGGTCCAACTAGGCTCAACCGCACCTCCGTCTCCTCCCGCAGTAGCTTCGTGAACTCCTCCATCCTAGATGACGTTTGAAACATATATACATGAGTTGGATAATGGTCAGGGTTGTATCGAGTTGGTCTCGATTCCGCCGGGCAAGGTTGCGCCGGTGGCGCAGATAGGTTGGGTTTAATTGGGCAGGGAGGGGCGGAGCTGTGTGTCTGCCCTTACACGCGCTAACCATATGCAGCAGAATCGAGCTAGGCATACTTCAACCGTAAACTCGGTGGTGTGCGTTGGGTTGGGCGAGATTTCACCAGTTCAACGTGGGTTGGAGCTGCTTGGGCCAAGAAAAAACTACAGTAGTTCACATTAGATGTACTTGAGAGATATCAGGAAAGCATTGGCCGTAAAGAACCAAGCAAGAACCGAAGTATTCACCATCTCGCAGCTTGTCCCACTTGATTGAAAACCTCTACCTCCAAGGTTTGATTCCGCACTACCATCACGCATGACTCCCAAGTGCCTGAAGTCCGCGCTATTCTTCAGTAGAAATGTATCATACACGCGATTGGCAATCGCTGGCAACGGGACCGATGGCGGTTTGACCTCCTTCGTACGTCTACAAAGCCGGATATACCGGAGGCACCCATCCGGTGATGTTTCAACTATACTAGATTCATAACACAAACTCACGTCGGCCAAGGTCCGTCAGGGCCAACCCCCGTCCAAAGCTTCCCTCCATCTTCTTCATCGTTTTCATCCCAGAGGGGCCGCCTGTTACCAGCACCCTTGCCATCCTCACCCCCCAGTTCTCCAAAAATCTGCCTCTCGTACCGCTCCGCTGGGCTTATGTTTTTTTTCTTCCTCCGCGGTCTCCTGCTCTGCCCCCTAGGACCACCCACACCGCCGTCCATTTCGCGGCGCCCCCTCCCTCTACCTTCGTCCCGGCCGCGGAGGACGAAATCCTCCTCCCGATCGTCCATACCCCGCCTTCCCATTTGCGGAGCCCCCTCATCATCATTATAGTAGTTGCCCCCTCTCCTCCTTTCTTCGTCTCTCCAATCGCCCGCGGTGGTGCGGGAACGGTTGCGGCGTGTTCCCTTCCGTCTCCTCCCGCCGCCCCCGTTGTAGTCATACCCATCGCTGCTTGAAAAAGCACCAAGGAGACACGTTTCGGTCCATCCATTTCAGTGCTACCGCGTACGTACGAGACGCTTTTGTGAACTCAGGTACCAGATTCTACCAAGTACAATGTGCAATCTGGTTGTTTGGAACATATGTTCGAGCTCCGTGACAGGGGAAACGACGAGGAATACGAAGAACAAGCGTCGAAACGGCGTTTCGTTTCTTTCCTTACCTGGTCGCCTTGGCGGCTGACGTTTTGCTTGCCGAATTCTACGTCGTACATGCAGGTGACAGTAGACTTGGAGCTTGCAGGACCTCCGCAGAAATGATACACGAGACCTCATCGAGAGATTCTCGACGATTGACTGTACAGAAAACTTGTCTAGCCTTACCCATTGCGTGTCCCTTTAAGCGGTGCGAACCACAGCACTCACGCAAACGGGCATCGCTCAAAACGAGTTTGATGGCTGATCAACCTAGCAACGAGAAGGCTGCTGCTGAGTGTCCGTGGTGCTGGTTCGATTTTCTGTTTTGCTCCAACCAGCAACAGACAACATTCCTTCTCCACATCTAGCTGGACAAAGACACGAAACATCCAGTCGACCGAAACATGTTGGAAAAAAATCGTTGCTGACGCGAGTTGGTCAGTTCTTGCCACAACGAAAATGAGACAAACAACTCACCCCAGGATCGCGTCGAGATCGAGTGAACCATCGTCGACGACACCACCGCGGTCACTGCTTCCCCTGCTGGTCCTGCCGACATCCTCAGCGGCAGTGGTAGCGCCTCCGCCGAAGTAAGTTTGAGAAGAGGAGGGAGCTGGGGCGGTCGAGGAGGGGAGTGGGGGCGGCGGTGGTGGCATACCGACGGCAACCCAGTCCCGCGGCATGCCGGAGGCCGGCCTGCGGATGGCGCGCTCGATGGCTAGGTCGGCCATGTCCGGGTCGATGCAGGCCACCTCAGCCTCCGTGTAGCCAAGGTCTTCGGTTAACGCCTTCGCCTGGGATACACGAAGATTGCGGAGAATGGGCCACATGTGTGTTTAGATACCAAAAAATTCTGAAGGGTTTGTATCGAGGAGCGGTGCAGTGCGACTGGGATGTGAAAAAATGTTTTCGCGTGTTTCCTGACTCTCTTGGTTAGTTCCATATGTGCGTGTTGAACAATATCAATATGAGAGCGGCAAAACGACGCAGCGAGTAGTACATAATGTGCCAGGCGATGCCCCTGCGTGTAATTCTGTTCTTCCCGTGTAGCGCCTCTGCCATTGTCTCGCGATTGCTCAGAGCAGTGGTGCACACACGGCTGAACGAAACAGACGAACGGCACCAAGCGTGACCCGACGCAATGCATAGAGGGAGGTTCACGCACAACGCAACACGCCCCATGCGAAGGCTAACACGAGTCAAAGACCGCAGGTATTGTGTTCCGTTAGGACTGTTTCCGAACGAGAGTTAACTCCGATATCTGCTTCAGTCCACTGCTCTCGAAACCCACCCAGTGCGGACGCTCAAGCCAGATGCGTGCAGAATCATTCTCCACTGTCTCCTTGCTAAGAAAAACATGAAAAGAACGTCACCTTTTTAGAGCCAACGGGTTCAAATTCAGCCGCTCTTCCGGCAAACTCCTGCCGGATCTCCTGCTCTGCCTCCATCGATTGTTGGTCGTCCTCTAGCGGCCTCCTCATCGACGCAGACTTGGCCTTAGCGCGGACCTATGTCGGTAGGCGGCGGAAATATTGTGTGACACGGAAAAAGAAAAAGAGTCCTCCGAGGTGGGTCATCTTCTAATGAGCTTTCCGCTGCTTCGTACCTAACAACTGCACAACACTCTCTCTACTTGCCCAACCCACAACACTGTACTCGGGCTAATCGCTCGACTCTCCAACCACGCACCTTGTCGACTTGCACATCTCGCCGGCGTGCGCCAATCCCCGCCGAAAGTCCGGGGTCGTAGTCCCATCCCCCCCTCCCTGGTTCCTGGTCGTACTCTTCGTCCAAATCGTAGTCGTAGGCAGTGTCCGCAGGTGAAGGTCGTCTTTCTCGCCTCATCTCCCCAGTTGTGCCAACGCCGCCTGAGAGGGGTTGGAAACCTCGTCCTGGTGGGGGGGGGCGACCCCGGCGGGGGGGAGGGCCACCAGCGATATCATCAACGAAACCATTGTCATATCCACCGCCGGTACTGCTGTACCGCCGGCTGGTACTGGTTGCAGCTCGTCGTGTGCCGCTGCCGCCGTTGGTGCTACTAGAGCGGCCACTTGCTTTCCCTCTGCTGTTGTCCTCACCGCCACTTGTACTGCCATCGCCCTCCTCTTCCTCGTCGACCCCGATGAATTCCATGAACCAGTCGTAGTCATCCTTCTTTGCCGCCTCGCGAGCTCGCGCCACGCTCTCGGCATCAAGGCCTATCCCTCCCAAGCCACCGTCTCCACCATCTCCACCTGTCGCTCTACTGGGTAACAGCAGCAGCCTGGCTCGGCTGCTGGTGCTGCTGGTGCTGCTACACCACCTAGAAGAAAAAAACGACGCTTGGCCTCCTCTTTCTCTTCTTGCATCCAAGCTTGGATACGCACCGCTCTCTTTGAAAGCAGCATTCGCATGCAAGCATTGCGCGGTATACGCCCTATCCCTGCTCTGTTGACGTGTGGAAGCTGCTGCATCTGCAGCAGACCATGACCCGCACAGGCCAGAGCGGCAAGAGTCAGACCTCTTGTTCGCATCAAGGCAGTTGGCGGATCGCGGGGCAGCTGCAAGGAATCCCCAGGCACTGCTGGTGCTACGGCCAGGGGTCGACGAAGGCCACGTTGCTGTTGTGGCGACGGCGGCTGCAAGAAGAACCCCACGACCTCTCGTCATGTTCACTGCTGGGTGTGCAAGGCGGGCTTGCTGTCTCCTGTCTTGTTTGGAAGCTACTCCGGACCGCGCTACTGCTACCAAGAGCCTGCCACAACCCACCCTCGTAGGATAGATGAGTGAAGATCAGGCAAGAGTTCTGCTCGCTGGGTGGGCGCTGGCCGGCGACCTGCGTGTTGAGGGGAACGGAAGGGCCAGCCAGCGCGCTTTCAAGCAGGGACAGGGGGGGCGCAGATAAGAACATGACATACGTGGAAGTTCCCAGCTGGTTCGCGCGAAGCGAAACTTAAAACAGCCCGCGTTTTCGGTTTTCAGTTTTCAGGTCTTTGACGACCTTCTCGACGAGAGGAGTACAGCGGAGAAAACACCCACCAGACGAGATATCGATTCAACACGGCCAGCATAGAGACAGAAAGAGTGAAGGGTTGCACAATTGACGACATGGTGGAATTTAACCTTGACAACGGAGGCGAGCAAGGTGGTGACTCCAGCAGCCAGGGCGAGTCGTCGAGTAGTATATCCGGCCACTTGGGCGGTAAGGACAGGGAACTGAACAAAGAGATCTTGGAGAAGATATATGCTGAGGATGATCCGCATAGGCAATTCGAGTAAGTTCTCAAAGCTGACGGTGCAGGTATGCTATGTCCAGCATTCTCCATGCAGCCATTCGCATCCCACTTCTCACGTCATTTGGCTATCGACATTTTTCACAACGCCCAACGGTGCTTCCTGCGTAGACAAATCGACGGGGAGGTTGGCAGTGCTCAGCCACTGCAAGCTCACAATAGAAAGGATCACTTCAACCCTTGCGATACTCCCGGCTGCTGCATCGTGACGTATTGGCTCTATTAATTTCAAATGTACGCCAACCGAACCCGGCTGGAGCGGTGTCCATGTACATCTCGCAGGATGCCCACTCGCAGGATGCCCACGAGAGTGTGTGTTTGTGTGTTTATTACGTCCTATTTATTTTGGCGACACTCCCCCCATTTTTCGTGGTGAGACGTGTACTACACTTTTCAGCGTATGTACAGCGTATGTACGTAGAGTACTATACTTTTCAGTGTTTTTTTCGTACAACTACAACCATCCAGGGTCACACAGGAGGGGGTAAACTAAACACCAGGGATTTTTTCTTCTTTTTGTTTCTTTTCATGCCCCACCTTCCTCCTGCGGTGCGTGCTGAAATTATTGTAGTTTGATCGTGAGAAGGGGCCAGCCGTCCCTTTCCCTCGCCAACGGTACTAACGTCGAAGTTCGGTACTCACGAGAGCTTGTCAGCAATATTTCGCTCTCACTCGCACATTTCGTAACTTTTTCACCCCATGGGGATTCGAACTCATGACCTCTACGACTAGCGGATTACGAGGATACCACTAGACCACCGGGGCGACCGATTACTCTCAGATGACACCATGTAGGCACGTGGCACGGTTATCAATGAATGGAAATATATATGTTTATTGTTATATGTAGATATAATCAAACCAAACTATTTGAACATGCAGGCTATCGACATGAAGCGATGTCATGGAGGCATGTGCACCACGGTCAGGGTCGTCACGAAGAGTACCGCCAGCCCATGTGCTTGATTCTCTACTTGATAACCTCCTTCCTCGTTTGGTAATTAGCGCCGTCTGACGCTTTGTCTAGGGAGCAGGCAAGGCCGCGGTCTGAGATTCTCCAACCCATCTATATTGTTCTGTCGATGCACATGCGAACGAACATCGACCAATCAGGTTGTTTGCAAAGCGCATCTGGATGCCCGATTCTGCCAGCATGAGCTCCCAGGACAGGCTCATCGCAGAATACGACTACCTCAACGTCATGTTTTGCCGGGAGCAGGTACGTGTTCGTAGACTCGGTGTCAGGGTAGGAGCTTCCCGATTCGAACGGTTACACCATATCGGAAGGTCAAAAGGATCGTGGGTCACCTGATCCGGCAACGTATTGGACGGTCGAGTTGGCAACGATTTTCGGGAACTATCATTCTGTAGGTGAGGCAGCACGGTAACAAGCTTGAAGACTTGCGTTTAGAATCATGTCGTGTGTACCGAGCACAGGTGATATCCAGCGTGTCCTATGAGTACTGAACACCAGAATCGTGAATTGTTTCTAGAATACCGCTTGTACACTAAAGAATTTTTCATAAGTCAGGTTCATTCCCACCCATCCACTCCGCCCGAAGGAAGATAGTATGAAACAACAAGAGAATATGAGCCAGGCATAGCCTTAGGTAAGCATGTTGAAAGCCATAGCGCACCACAAGAAGCACGGCAAGATACCGATTCCGCATTAACCGGTTTCGATTGGAACCTGCTAGGAGTCTTAATCGATGACTCGTTTTGGGGAGTTACATAATCGCGTTAATCCCACCTCTACGGGGTAGGCTGCCCTTCATGGAAACTGTTATATCATCTTTAGCGGTATCGATTCCCCAATTCAAGTCGTGTGCTTCACTCCCCTCCATAACGCCGGCCCGATTGTTTTTCAGAAGTTTTCCATGGAGCAGACCATCGCATTTCGTGGCATCACCCTGGGGGTGTTTGAGGCGACAATAGTCAGGGGAGAAATGGATCTCCACGGAGCCTTCGAGGCCTTCACCGAGAGGGTCCTCTCTCTCGCCGAAGTCCCTGAGACAACCACGAGCACACTCAGTGGCGATAGAGGCGGCAGCAACATCCACACCAACGAGGCCAACAATCGGTCACGTACTGGGGGGCTGGCGGCTGATAGTAAAGCCCCAGGTACAGAACACAACGAAGCAGCTATTACCACCGCAAGTTCAACACCGCCTAACAGGCACAGAGTTGGCGACAACGGCGGTGCGGGAGGGGCGGTATTTTCCGTGGGTGACATCGGCGCTATCACGCGGTTCGTGGCGCGGGGCCTCTACCGCAACTTTACGCTCTACCGCATGTGTTTCCAGCAGGAGGCTAGGTCTTGTAGAGAGGTACGGCATGTTCAAGTCGAGACTCCCCTTGAGCTGCCGCCATTACAAGAGGCTGAAAATGCCCCGTAAACATATGTCAAGAAAAACTCTAACGGGGTCAGTTCGTCCGTACCCCTGTTATTTTTCCTGGTGGTTGCCAGGACCGTCGAAACTCCGTCAAACGTGGGACGTTAAACGCAGTCTATCCTGTCGCCTACGGTATACGCCTCCCGGATGAACCCGCTCTCCTCGTTTTTTGGTGTTCAGGTCGGTCCCGCGGTAAAGACGAAAACAAGCGTTTGAGCCGCACCCCACAATATAATCTCTGTGGTAAACATAAACGCGAGATAGCCCATTGCTCTTTGTCCTCAGGACGCGGTGCACTTCACCCGTTGAGAGGCGTGAACACGTGCCCGTGTCAGCTTGGCCAGGAACGTCCTCTGCGTTCGTTCTTGGACGTTTCGTTTCTGCCCATCGCATTTAGTGACCATATGGCGTTCAACACTGGGTGTTTTGGTGAATCCCCTATCCCTGGCGAGACTTCCCTAGGAAAACATCGGTGCTCGCAACCTCCCTTGGCTCTGGGACCTATCGCCTTGTAGAAACCATTTTGCAGTTGCCACCCGCTTTCGGTCATCACATCACTTGGTTCCGAGCAAGGCGTGGAAATGAGATTCGTGACATCGGAACGAGCAGGGAAAATCAATTATGATGGAAAACATGGCACGTCCCGATTCAAGTGCCACAGCATCCAAGGTCGCACCAGACGCAAGGTACATCTCCGCGAACGCAGGATGCATAACGCCCACATGCCAAACTCACACACAATCCCCGACACCGCTCTCACGGGTATTCTTGAACAGACGAAGGGGGCACGACTGCTATCTTCTGGACACTAGGACAAGAATATCGCACGGGGTAAGAAAACGGCTCTTATGTACAGAACTGCCGCTCGAAAGGCAACTTCTGCTCAATCAATCCATGCCCCACCATCGGCACCCACCCCGTACATCCTCAACGAACGTGCTGAGTCCTTTGTCTACTATTGGACATACATCGCGCAAACGTCCTGGCATGTGCGACGGTCGACTCAGATACGGTCCCGCGGTATTTCCCTCGTTTAGCCGAAACGTGAGGGAGACCTACCACGGCCAGCAGGCCCGCCAGTGTCGTCCGCACTTCAAACGTCACCACGTAAACCCCACCGCGCAACCCGCAAGGCGTTCGGCAACAGCATCTCGGGTACAACCACGCAGGAATGTCTGCCAAGGATGCAGGAATGGTCAACGAAATTTGACGGCTCTGATAACGAGGCACGACCATTATCTTAAGTCCACTCCGGCTACCAAGACCGTGTCTATGAACGTTGCGCTGCCGGTGGCGTATCTCCACCCCATTCACATTTCGTCAGTGGTAAGGATTTAGAGCCAACAACTCTGCCATGCAAGAATAGTAAGCCATACCCACCCCGAACCACCCCCTGAGGATACAGTGCCATCCTCCACGATCAAGATATTATAACATTTTCGAGGCCTCCTTCTCCGCCAGCACCCGAGTTACTATGGCCGGCACGCGAGCGTTCTCTAGCTCCATTAGCCAGGCCTTCTGCGCGTGGCTGGTGGTGTCGTCCTTGGACTTCACTTCGACCACCTGCACCTGGGAATTCAAATTACCAATAGTATCAATGGTGCTGATGTTGTCAGATTCGCCTTGTTCGGTTCTGTCGCCGGGATCATTGTTGATGGCCGCTCCGTTTTTCACTTTCTACCATGCGTTGTCGCCTTTTTTTGTTCCGAACCGGTATGCTCGAAGGGGTTGCAGGCTTGCGTGGGATAATAGGCAAGGGATAACTGGTACATTCAAGAGTCTTTATCCTCTCTCCGTCGGCGCTTTGTCCCTTCCCTAGAACAAAAGCGGGCAGATACACTGGTTCAAAGCAGCTTGCTGAAACTTCCAAAGTGTCGACGCTATCAACCTCACCTCCCACCCTTGACCGTAGCCCTCCCACCCCAGGCCGAAGTGTGTCTTGGAGCCCCAGTGGAGTCCCTTCTCATCACCGCTACCACTGCCACCACCAGATCTGCTCTCGGCAGCGCCCTTGTCACTCTTGGGCCGCCAGAGGACCACGTCCGGGAATCCGAAGCGTCTACATGTACGCCGAAACAAAAAAGAAGTAAATAAACGAATAGAGAACCGCCGGGGGGGAGGAGGAGGATTCAAGGCTTCACAGCACCACATTCGAACACCTGAAGGACGCTCGACTGTCATCTTTGGGTGGGGGCAGAGGACAGCGAGGGATGGTTTTAGGCTTTGCTGTGGCGCAACAACACGATCAAGGGTGAAGAAATGCTCAATCATAGTATGTGTCGAGACGGAGCAACAGGCGTCAGGAACGGGAACAAGGGTGGGGATATAGAATGGCTTTCATTGCACTGATGGTCCGGACACGTTATCGTGACCGCAATCAGCGGACGGCTACAGACATGTCAACCACCCGCACGCTCAGTCTCGAGAAAATACCCAATACTTCTATTGGTTCATCCCTACTCCTCCGCCAATGGATTCCTTTTCGTCGGTGGAACCTGACGAATTACCTCCGTTTGCTCGCGCGGTCGTTGTCGAGATAGTATCGCCACGCCCGATCCTATTGACACAGAGCCCGTGCAACGTTTCACCAGCCTCGAAAGGATTCAAACAAGCTCGGTTGGCAACGATAAGCTCTTCGTTCTGTGTTGGAGGGAGGGGTCTTGTTGACACCCGAAAGACTCACAGCTGTGTTATGGTGGTGGTTGTCGCACTAAGGACATCAGAGAGTCGCCGTCCGCCGAAAGCGGCGCAGATCTCCATCACCTGGTGCGATGCGTCGAAATGAGGAAATCAGGTAGGCGGCATCAAGTGGGCAGCATCGTCTCCTTCACCCCCGAACACTACTTGGAAGACAAATAACAAATCACGGGTCGTTCCTCATTTTGGCCCGACCGGACGCACGTCTACACAAAGAAAATGACGACGTATCCGGACCAAACGACCATAGCGTTTCAATACTTGACAAAAAAGGCACCAAGGAATGCAGGATCTCAGAAGGGTGATATCGTCTTTCAGCGCAAACGTACGCACCACACCTGCTGTTTAGGAAACCTGTTCCAGTCGCACCAAATGGCAACTACTCCCCTGAACCTGACGGGTGCGGGGGAATCGGGGGCAGGGGGGGCGTGGGGGAGGGGGAGTGTTCGACAGATAAACCTGTGATATCGTACATGGCGAGGGATCTTCACTGACCATGGTTGCTCTTGGTGGTGCCCTGCTGCTGCTGCTCTGTTGATGATCAGCAATCATTGTAACTTTCAACTACGGCAATGGAAACCCTGTCTGCCGACTGCGCAAGACCCCCATTTACACGCCCTCGTATTTCTATTGCTGACCAACTGCCAACATTGCAAGAGGTGGTCGATTTCTACTGTGCGAAAAAGCATTCCACATGCTCTGCTGCACGACGCAACAGATTCAACCCGCCGAAAATCAAGGGCGGAAACGCAAAAACAAAGTGGAACCGGATGAGGCACCGTCACAAACCTCAACGCGGTGCCCGTGGGGGATCTGGCCGGAGCAGCCAGCACGCCCAAAAAGCAAAAGCGGAAGCAACGGTCAACATAGCTGCGGGAAACTGCAAACGACCCTAAGTCGGGGGTAGGCTATCCTAGCGCACGAAAACGTTTTGATTCAGGTCTTCTTGCCGGATACAGTTGGACCAACACAGAGCAAGGACTACTTCGCTAATTGAACCGCACACATTGTTGAATAATCGCCAACCTGTCGTAGCGCTGCCCGACGTCCAACCACAGCTGCTCATCAGAAGATCGCGAAATTGTCCGCAAACGTATCGACAGGCCTTCTCTCCGGCTGCAGAAAAACTTGTCCTGCATGTCTAAAGGCCGGCTCTGATCGAAAGCCGGGTGGGATGCGGGTGGGGGGATCCGTTCGATGGGCGCCAACAGTTGCTTGACGTTGACCATGCAACGTCTCCGGACGGCTTAACTCTTCCTGCTGCCGGTACGGCAATCACTCGGGGGTGTTAATCACGTCTAACCGAAGAAATTACACACTGAATCCCGATCTCTCCATGGGTCCTTTCACTCTTCTCAAAGAGTAACCGCTGTGATTTCCCTGTTTGTGTTCATCGGTCCACTACCGTACAAGACGTCGCAAGGCCCCCTATCGATTTTTTAACCACCTCGCGAGGGCGCCACTCTCTAACCTTTCCTGCATGCTTCATATTCCTCGCCTGTGGCACTACTTTTTGCCTCATGTCATGGGTATCATCCCACAGCCAACGTCCTGGAGTCACGTGTGGCTGACCATGGTAGACGTATTAGTTGGTGAACTATAACCAATTGCATTGACAGCTCTCTCTCGTTCGTTCTCTCTGATGTCGAATCCCAACATGTGGACATCGCACGTTCTCTCTCACTATCACGCACAAGATCCAGAGTAGAACAAGAGACAGAATGAGTACGGTGCGACGCTCCAGTTACGGCCTCAAGCAGATCAAAACAGACAAGAAGGGCATTCTTGGTCCTGTGCGATAAAACATGTTTTTCGCACCGTGATTACGTGCGGAAGTGCTGCATGCACTCGATCGTCGAAAACCTCCTCCCACAGCAAGAGCACCATCAGAAACATGTTGAGGGAGGACTCGCAGTGCAGCCCCAGCCATCCGCCCGAGCGATATCTGCAGTTTGTTCAGGGAATTCCGTCATACAACCGTGTGCACGATGTTGAGGGAGATATTAGAGAAACACTTGCGTCTTCGACACTTGTCCACGTGGCGTGTCGGCGATAGCGTCGCCCTTCCAAGCGCTCTACGACGTGGGGTTGCGATTGAAATGGCTAACCAGAGCACGAAGAAACTAAAACATTCACTCATAAAGAATCCGGATGCAGCCCTACTCGGTTGTTCGAGCGCGGCCTGCGTTCGAGGGCAAAAAAGGACGCCTTTTCTGCTCTCTCAGAGAATATTATTCAGGGGGAAAGGTCGAGGGTTAGGGTTTGTGCATATAAAATCTACGGTGCTGTCCCCTAAACGAACGTTCCCAACCTGCTGACCTTTCTCTCAAGAGCACTTCTTCCACGTTCAGTGAGTTTCGTTCGCCCCAGCGTGGCTCGCCGACATCTTCGGGGGCATGACAAAAAGACGAACGACCACGTGCAGCAATAGTATCACACAAGAGCAAACGCACCAACGGCTCTGCAACGACGTGGCAAGTCAGCACGCGAATAGGTGCATCAGGGTCGGGCGTTTTGAGACTGTCCTGCAGATGTCTACCCTGCACTGATAAATCACACTCCGACCGCACATTCATCTAGGCGTGTTCATTGTGGCGACTAGGCGGAATTCTGGGGTGGCTGGGTGAAGGCTTTGATATCATGATCCCATTCGCATCGTACGGGGCGTGCTACTTCGACACTACTCGGGGAGACGCCATATTGGGGTCATTCAATAGCTAAATAGAGAAGGGAGGCGTAGAGGCATATTGGCTTGTCCAATACAAGTCTCACGTGGACTGACATAATCACTGTTGTAGAGGTACAAAGCAAAGGCAGCACCGCCAACAAAACAACCAAAAATAGCATTCGAAGCAGACTACAGTATACCATCTAGAGTGCTTGTCCTTACCAGGTTTGTCGAAGTACAGCTTTCGTCCCCCGTTCTTCGACCTCTGATTCCCCTCCTTTTGGGTGTCCATGTTCACGACCAAGACCTCCTCTTCGTAACGGAAGCGCCGTTCTTTTAAGGGCGTATCTTGATTGTCGCCTAAGACAGTGTTTGTAACCGAAAGTTCTTGCTCATGACAAGCACAATCAAAAGGTGAGAGAACACTTGACAGCTAAAACTTGCAGCTTCATTGTTTTCGTCACATGGATTCTGGGCGCCAGTTCACACCTTTTGGTGCGCTGGGGTCACACAGGGGAACCCCTACACCGTTCCTCCTGCGGTGGTTGCCTCTACACTGCACGCGAGAAATCTGTACAATCTCTCCTTGTTTTGTGCACGCACGACCACTCGTTTCGTGTATCTCTATTTTTTCAGTCCGGAGAGACTCGAAAACACAACCTTAAGCCAGAAACGATCTCACGAGGGTCCCAACTGAGCCACGGCTGTTACGTGGCCAAGCTCCATACCCTAATAGGAAGGTTTGTGAATGTGAACGTACGGAGTGGAATCTCCCTCAACCGGCGGGGTCCAAAGTATAAGATATTACATTCCATACAGATCTTCCAGCGATAATGTTTCCAGGGTACACCTCGGTACAAGTTTTTTAGGCGGATTCAGGCGGGGCGGCACTTCAGTGTGGCGGTATTTTTTGGGATGTAGGCGGTATTTCGTTTTCCGGCGGTACCGCCTTCGGCGGTTCCCGGTACTGCCAATTATGGCGGTACTTTTCTGGCGGTACTGAAATATGGCGGTACCGCCCTCGGCGGTTTCCGGTACTGCCAAATATGGCGGTATTTTTCTGGCGTTACTGAAATATGGCGGTACCGCCTTCGGCGGTTCCCGGTACTGCCAATTATGGCGGTACTTTTCTGGCGGTACTGAAATATGGCGGTACCGCCCTCGGCGGTTTCCGGTACTGCCAAATATGGCGGTATTTTTCTGGCGTTACTGAAATATGGCGGTACCGCCTTCGGCGGTTCCCGGTACTGCCAATTATGGCGGTACTTTTCTGGCGGTACTGAAATATGGCGGTACCGCCCTCGGCGGTTTCCGGTACTGCCAAATATGGCGGTATTTTTCTGGCGTTACTGAAATATGGCGGTACCGCCTTCGGCGGTTCCCGGTACTGCCAAATATGACGGTATTTGTGGCGGTACTGAAATATGGCGGCACTGCCTTCCGCGGTTGCGGGAAGACCAGAACATCAAAATATGGCGATGCCAAACTACATTCGGTGCCCTTGGCGCCCCATCAACCGGCGAACCTCTTTTCTCTCTTTCAGGATGGGTCTTTTTTGTCTTTTTTTGTAAGTACTCTTGAGAGCCTATATCTCCCCAATGATTTCGTGATTTCACGATGCGATGCATACCCATCGTCAAATTGAGCAGTTCATGGACAAACGAAAGGCAACGAAAAGAAGAGAAAATGCAACAAATGAGGTGCGCTGAAACGCGATCCGTCGAATGCCACGGCAAACAGAAGCATAACTCAATGTAGATTTGTGATAGCGTCTAAAACGCTACGATCAATCAATCAGCTACTCCTCTCGCCCTACATAACCCAGACTACAGTAAATTTGGGTACCCTCGTCTACAAGCTAAGGTCAATCGACTTCTTCGCCCTCTCCTCCTGACAGGCCACTGATTTCTATGCGCCTTGGCTGCCTTAGCTCGTGCCAGCGCAACAGCAGCGTCCAATTCTCGCACCTCGTCCACCAAGTGCCTGTCAAGCCGAACCAACATCATGCGCTCAACCTTCCGTGAAAGCATGTTGCAGCGCAGGTGACCTCGATCCCGAGGTACAACCGAGCGATGAACGCTAGGTAGGGCATTTCTGTCGGGGATGTGACTTGGCCAGTCGTCGCGCACACGCTGTCAGTGCCCCGCCGACTCCAAGACCCCAGGACTTTGAACTCATCCACGTCGACCTGTTCCTTCTCCGCCAAGTACACCAATACGTCTCGCTCGATCAGCACGCGCCGGTTCGTGGCGGAACCCTGAGCCTGGACTGAACCGCTCGCACCGACACCGCTGGCTGCCGCCACACGTGCCCCGCGCCGTTCCTCAAGTCTCGAAAGCTTCTTCCTCTTGGGTGCGGGTTCCACCGGGTCCACGTTGAGCACTGGCGCTGGCGCTGATGCAGGCTCGGACGGCTGCACGTCGAACTGGGCGATGACGGCCTTCAAGTCCTCTTCGGCCCTCTTCCTGAGATGCGCAGAACCGTTTTCGAGTTGTTCACCGTTAAGCGACTTCCGCCTCGGGTCCATCAACGCGGATAGACGCTCCACCTGCTGCACAGCCTTCTCCACCTGCTTCTCTCCCATCACTTCCAGCAGCACCTCTAGCACCTCCTGCGCCTCCAGGGAAAGGTCCGTCACCTCCATCTCGTCCGTTGGAATGCCGTCCGGTGGGGGCGGCATGACGGTGGCATTCTTCGCCCGGATCGGGTGGCTGTCCTCCCTTAGCATCTCCATCACCACATGAATGATGACGATCGCCTGGCTGATGTGGGTGTCCTCGGCCCCTTGCATCCGAATCGTGGCCTAGGAGACGTCGCTCAGGAGGCTGCACACCTTGTTGGTGATGGTCCACTCATTTGGTGTCAGCTTTTGCGAGTTCTGGGGTTGCTGTCGGAAGTACTCGGTGATAGGCTTCTTCAAGGCTAGGAGGTGATCCATCATCGTTAACTGGCTGGTCCACCTTATCATAGAGGCATGTTTCGCAACAGGGGACGTCGTGGGACAGAGGAGGGTGCGGGTGGGACAGAGGGTGGAGGTGTCGACTATTGGGAGTTGATGCTGTTGTGATCTACTTTGTCATTCCAAATATACTCCAAATATATTCACATTTTAACTCTATATATGTTCAAATGGTACTTGGACGAGGACAAACGGTCACCATGCGCGACCAATATATCGGTCGCCCCGGTGGTCTAGTGGGTAGCCTCGCAGCTTGCTAAGGGTCAGGTCATGGGTTCGGGTCCCGACAGAGTGAGTTTTTTCTCGCTTATTAAGTCCTGGTCTCCGTTGGAAGCGACGCGCTGCAAAGCTCGTTGTTAGTAAACTTGAGCGACTTCTTACGTCGCGAGGGAAGGGATTGCTGTACCCTTCTCGCGATAAAAAATTCTCAGGCAGGAACCGCAGGAGGGGGTCCAACCCCCCCCTCCTATGTGACCCCGGTTGGGTCGTCTAGCTGGTAGAAGTGGAGGACAGGGGCCAGAGGGGCAGACGACAGAGTCCAATGATGGGAGAAATAAAAAATCAAGCACAGAACAAGACCTAAAATTGGAACACTGCGACTGCACAGGAGCACCAGGGACAATACTAACGAGCGTGATATTGAAATCAAATGCCCAATATTCAACATGAATATTGTAGATCCAGTGGTTGAACATTTACAAACTTCTAGCTGAAAAATGTACAGGTAAAATATATTCTGCTAATTTCTACTTTCAATCTACACAAAATCACCTTGTGTCATTTCGCCTGATGAGCCCGTACACAGCGTGGATGTCCTCCTACAGTCTCTGGAGTTCCTTCAGCTTGTCGTTGTTGACGGGTTTATCCGCAATTCCAAAAGCCCACATGACTGCCGTGTTGACGCGGTGGCAGTTGCACTTGACGACCGGGACGTTCAACGCCGTACACGCGTTGACAACGTTCCCCCCTTGATCCACCGTATAAGCGAGGAACACATCCTACGTCTCCACGTCCTCCCCCATGAAGTCCGCAAAGTACTCTCGCGTGAGCTGCGAAATATGAGACATGAGACAAGCTTAAGGGCTACAATATTACCAAAATAAGAACCAAGTCGTCTACATTTTCAGCGGTGTGTGTGTGTCTTCGTCCTTTATCATGGCGACGGTCCCCCCCAGCGGTGTATAATATTTTATTATTGTATTTATTTTATTTTCCATTTTCAAGTGTCAACATTGAAACATTTCAACAGATTATTTCGAAGAACAACACCTACAAAAACGCAACAACAACTAACCCCAAAAATGTCATCATCCTGAACAGCACATTGAACACAATGAAGAAATAAGCACCTCAACTCCTCGATCCAGGGTCTGATGTCGTCGGCAGTGTGGGTGCCGGGAAACGCTCGACACGCAAGCGCGACGCGGGTAACATCCGTGCTACCCTTCTTCACGTACGACACGGTGAAGGTGATGTACTCCTCGCCGGCCACTGTCGTGAGATCCAGCTGGGCACCAAGGAAAGCTCCCGAATACCCCATGCCCAGACACTCCTCCCGTAACGTCCGCAAGTCGTCCACGACGCTTGTGTTTACCTTGCCGTATAGGGTGTCCAAGTTCTTGTCGAAGGTGTCGTTGGACATGGTGCTCTCCACGTAGTCGGGGGACAGAGCGCCCAAGAAGAGCTTGAAGCCGTCGTCGTGCCGCATCTGCTGCGGCCTTAGGTTGATGCAGCGCCAGATCACGAAACGGAGGTCAGCCATCTCCCTCCGTTTCTTGTCCATCTTCGGCACCATGTCACCGGCGACGATGAGCTCGACGCGCTTGCTGATGATGAACCTGTCGATGAACCTGCTGATGAATCCCCCGCTGTGATTTGAGAACAAGAAAAAAACAAGGCAAGAGGAGGTCGTTCAGGGCCATTACGTCTTGTGTTGTTGTAGCGTTGTCATGTTCGAGAACATGCAAGGCACAACAAACCAAGAAACAAAACAGGTTTGCACTAAAAGTGTTTGATAGATAGGGACGACCTACATAATATATAATACATTATACCTTCCATGAACTGTTGAAACTTAAAACTGCAGACACGTGGTAGGTCTCTGTCACAAATCAAACCAAAACATGAAGATAAAAAGATGCAAAGCATCCTTAAACCATTTTCCGCTGAAAAAGATAAATTCGTGCGCACGCTGCGCTGGCGCACGTGGTTTGTGTCACGAACATAAAAACCTAGTATCGTATACTGTAGACAGAATAGTATAGCACGCCAGCGGCCTTTATGTTTATTGTTTTTGTTGTTGGGGTTGTGCACACATTGAGGGGAGAGAGTGCTGCTGCAATCTGCTCGCATAAAAAATCGATGGCAAGCACCGCAGAAGGGTTGGGTGGGGGGCTCAGAAGAGGAAGCCGGTTCAAGGCGATGGAAAAAAGAAGAAAAATAAAGGGGGTCAAGTCTACGGCAGCAGTGTAGCAGCAGCAAGGCATAAATTCATGACGAACTACTCACCGATCGCCGCTCGAATAGGCTCTTTCCTGTCCGCCGGCGTGCCTTCATCTCGTCTTGTCTTGGCCGTGGCGGGATGAGCTTTCGCGATGTGCTTGGACAACCAAGATGTTCCCGTCCCCCGCTGCTTGTTGCTTTCTGATGGAGTCCACTTCATGAGGTGGTTGCAGGTTGTCCCATCCTTCTTCTTCACCAAACACACCACGTTCTTGTCGTTGATGGACGGGGTGAACCTACTCACAAACTGCCAACACCAAGATGTCAACCTCCTTTTGCCATACTGAGGCTCCACGAGTGTGACTGAAATCGACTGGCCGCGGCCCGCATCGACCATGGTGCTAGACTAGGGTGAGGATTGCAGCTGTGGTTCTCTCGCAGCCACCGATTCCACATCCACAGAATCGCTCCCGTCCACGGAACCACCGGCAGCAGGCGCTACCCATGCAGCAAACCCATCTTCTACACTACTAGTAGCACCGGGATTCCCCCTCTAGCGCGCTCATTGCCTTACTGGACGCTGGGGCAACTGCTGCGTGTGTGATCGGTGTGCTCGAACAGCTAATGATCGGCGAAAGATGAAAGAGGTTCCGCCGACAAGGAACAAGACAGAACCAAAAAAAATAAAAAAAATAACATGCTGTCTGGGAACCGTAGACATACAGGTAGCCTTTCGCTCACGCAATGGATTCATTGCTAATCTATCTTAGACTTATTTCTATAGATAGACATGGATTTGTTGTGTGATATGAAGAAAAAAATATGACGAAAGAGAACAAAGAAAAACAAAAAAGATGAACAAAGATACAGGCCAGCTGGACTCGAGCCACTGTTGTTGGCGGAATATCGCCCTCAGAACACTCTCCTAGGCTACTTCTCTCCCAGGTGCGACAACCTGACAGGATCGTGCGACATGGCGGTACTTTTACTGCGGTACTGTAGTATAGCGGTACTGTTTTGGCGGTTTGCGGCGGTACTGCAGTATGGCGGTACTTTTTTGCCGGTACTGCGATATGGCGGTTCTTTTTTGGCGATAGCACAATAATGCGGTACTTTTTAGGCGGTTCCCGGTACCACCGAATGTGGCGGTAATTACCGCCAGTACCGGGACCGCCCACCACGGCGGGAAAAAAACGGCCGGAATTTTCCCGAAGTGTACCCTGAAAAGTTCCAACCTAGCTGGTCAACAAACATAATATTTCCAACCTAGCTAGTCAACCATATGCCATGCACTTGCGGCAGCAGGGTGTACATGCGCGCCATCAGAGACCACGGATTACCTACCGAACTTCTTGTGGAGAAAATCGTATCTTTCTCGGAGCTCCACCCGGTCCCCCCCCTGCACTCCGTCGTCGTCGCAGGCTTCCATGACGGTCTCCAGCTGGCGGCGCCCGGGCTTCTTGAGGTGCTTGAGGTTGATGGCCAACCTTGTGTACGCCTGAGGTTTCCTCGCAAACAGCCAGTTCGGTCGGCACGTAGTTCATCGCGCGAAAAGAAAAATGATGAACCGTCACACTTGAGACGCAACGACACGGGCGACGAGCAAAACCCAAACGGGAAACCTCTCGGTGAGGATGCAGGCCGGCGGCGGTCGACTCCATGCCGTGGTGGCGTCTACTGCCAGGGTCACGCAAACCTGGTGTTCCGAAACGAGAGTATGCTCATTGGCATACAGGTGTGACAGGAACACTAAGCAAAACGCCAGAGCCTCCCAAGATTTGTATTGCTGTTCAAACGTATGGACAACATCGCGAGATGGACACCGCAGAAAAAAAAATTCCACCCAGCATTTCTAGGTGTCCGCGGTCGGGGTGCTTGACAGTCACCAGTTCCTTGGCCAGTACCGGTTCGTTGGTGTTCGATCACACCTTCCACCAATCAATTAAACACACTCGGCGATGCGCCGAATTCAAGAAAGGCGGAGGTGGGTCGACTGGCCGACTGACTGACTCACGTAGCCCCTGTGCTTGCTGGTGACCCAGTCTGCCGCCCACACCAAGTCGGGCGCCGCCTCGCGGTAGTCTGATCCAGCCAGGCCCTTCACCAGAGGACGCACGTGCGCAGGGAAAGGTTCAGCAAGGAATGGTTGCTTAAGAGGGCGACCAAAGACGACATCGCAAGCGCTGTAGGGTATCTCGGTCGGCGTAGGATATCCCTCCTCTAGGGGACTGATCCCCTTCTTTACATACTCCAATTCCGCCCAGGCTCTTCCTCGGAGAGATCGCATTCAATGTGTTCAACCGAGAACTTTTTGATGTAGATTGGCACGGACGTGTTGAATCGCTTTCAACAGAGTACCGCCAAATGACGACGTAGCAGAGAGTCAGGGGTTCCAACGAAACGAAGGTCCCTCGGTTGAGTAGTTCCCTTCACCTGGTCAGATCGCACCATCAGTCGAAGGAGCATCACGGCAATCTCGTATGTCTTTTGCTTTTGCAGCCCTTCCACGATACTGCCGATGACGCTAACCACCCGGGAGGCGGCATCCTTAAGCCGAAAGCACGCCGCTTCCCTCGTCCGCTTCTCTCTCGACAACGACGCAATCCAGCGATGGCCGCCGCCCCCGTTGCCCACAGCGATCTCATCGACTTTCCCGCCGACTAACCCGCCCACACTGCTACCGATGCTGGTGCCGCTGCTGTGTGCCACAGCTCCTCCGAGCAACCCCAAAGCTTGGGCCATGGGACCGCTCCACACCAGGGGGGATGCCAGGTGGCCGTTTGTCTCGTTCTGCGGTACAACGGTACGATACGGGAAACTAGTCGTATCGTACGGACAGTAGTGGTACTAATACGGTGTTTGAGTGGTGCGGTACGCCAAACAAGACGTGTGGAATACGTCGGGATACAAACGCTGTCCAAGGAGGCTGCCACAGGCCTCACCATCAAGCAACGCTCCTATGAAAAATTGACGATCACAAAACCGTCCATTCAATCGGCGTAATATTTATTAATATGTTCCTAACCCTCATCAACTACTTCTCTTGGTTATTTTAGGTGGAAAACAACGAGAGTTGCATAACGAAACAGCCTAGGGGAGACGGTCGGTCTTGCCGATGGTACACATGACGGAGTAAACGTACCCCGAAATGGAGAAGTGGGCTGACATTTGAAGGCCAGGTTTCTTATCTAGTTAACAAAAACACACGCCAACTTGTACGAAAAACTCAAAAAGCTGATTTCAAGTCGCACATTCTGATTCCAACATGTGTGTGTTACTTCCAAACGCCAACAGAACTTTCGAAGTCGTATCCCACCAAAACAAACACGGGTAACCTATTGATGCTACTAGGTTCAACTCGACTGTGTTGAAAGGGGCCAGTGTTCGCTCATGGTTGTACAGTCTCAAGCCTGGGCGACCCCCTCGCTCCGCGTACTGGGAGATTGAACACCGTCGTTAATACTGCTTCACGGGATGAGCTACAACGACTTTGCTAAATCAAAATGGAGATGGTGGGGTGTACTCATAGTTGTGCATGCCGTAGTCGTTAGACCATTGACCTCGCATCCCTACAAAGCCGGGACGGAGCACGCCGGGTCCTCACCGGACCAGGCTCTCACATCATCAAGCGCGAAGCACCGTGAGGTATTCGGCGAGTCGCATAAAGGGTGCTGCGCTGCATCCTGCTAAGGGTGTTCGGCATCTTGTGACTACTTCCTTGCATTCGGATGACAGCTGCGTATGACTTAATATATTTTCTGGTGCTTTCACTTCCTGAGACAGTTGTAAGCACTGTGTAACTGCCTCGAGGGTGCTTGACCATTTTAACACAGCTTGGTGCGATCATCCCCCTTGCGCGGAGTGAGAGTTCTCCACCCCGCACAACATGATCTACTCGACCACCATGATGGAAACCGCCAAAAAAAAACACAGGTGAAAAAAATGACGGTAACCTGGATGCCGAGCTCACGAAGTGAATTGGCTTGATTTACAACGTCGTTGCCAAGCGACGAAAACCCAATCCCGATGGCAAACACCGGGGGGCGGGCTTGTTTGGCAACGTCGTTGCCAAGCGAGGAAAACCCAACCCCGATGGCAAACACCGAGGGGGGGCGGCTTGTTTTACAACGTCGTTGCCAAGCGACGAAAACCCAACCCCGATGGCAAACACCGAGGGGGGGCGGCTTGTTTTACAACGTCGTTGCCAAGCGACGAAAACCCAAACCCGATGGCAAACACCGGGGGGGGCGGGGTGGAGATGGAGGGGGAGGGTGTACTCATAGTCGTGCATGCCGTAGTCGTTAGACCATTGACCTCGCATCCCTACAAAGCCGGGACGGAGCACGCCGGGTTCTCACCGGACCAGGCTCTCACATCACCAAGCGCGAAGCGCCGTGAGATATTCGGCGAGTCGCATGAAGGGTGCGCTGCATCCTGCTAAGGGTGTTCGGCATCTTGTGCTTACTTCCTTGCGTACGGATGACAGCTGCGTATGAATTAATTTATTTTCTGGTGCTTTCACTTCCAGAGACAGTTGTAAGCACTGTGTAACTGCCTCGAGGGTGCTTGACCATTTTAACACAACGTGGTGCGATCATCCCCCTTGCGCGGAGTGAGGGTTCACCCCGCACAACATGATCTACTCAACCATCATTATGGTTACCGCCCAAAAAAAATAAACGCAGAGGTAAAAAAAAACCGGTAACCTGGTTGCCGAGCTCACGAAGTGAATTGGCTTGTTTTACAACGTCGTTGCCAAGCGACGAAAACCCAA